GCAGTGATTATATTAATGGAAGCAATCAGGAAACAAGCTACAAAGCTCAGAGAACAAGTTGCGAGACAGCAACAGGTAAACCTATTTTAATCGCAAAACTAAAACCCTAAATCAAATTTCAATAGAATTCGAATCACTTTCTTAGTTATGTTAGATTGAGGGGTTCTTGATCTGTGTCTGAAATCGATTGTGTGAAGTGGGTTTTACTTTATGATTGAAATTTTACAATCGTTCAATCTCTGAAATTGATGATCTTACAAGTAGTTTTTTGTTCTTGAAAAGTTTGCGTCTTTGATGTTATAATCTTAGCTCATATGTCTATGGGGTTTAAAGAAATGGTGTCTTGCTTTAGTTTTGTATTACCAAGAAATCGAAACAAAGTGTGTTTTGGTTTGATGTTTCTCTGTTCTTATGGTAATTTTTGGAGGCTGTTCTGAGACAATTTGGAGGAGGAGGTTATGGAGGTTCAGATACTGTAATAACCGATGAGGAAGAGTTACATCGGCATCAGAAACTCGAGAAGCTTTATATCTCAACACGTTCTGCTAAGGTTTTCGAATTTTTTCGAGCTTGAACTATATAAGTATCTTGGTACTGTTTTCATTGAAACTCTGAAGATTATTACTTCTTTTCTCAGCATTTTCAACGGGATATTGTTCGTGGTGTAGAAGGATATATCGTTACAGGATCCAAACAAGTCGAAATAGGTGATTTTGTTTATGCATTTGCCCCACGGCGTTACATTTGTGTTGTTTTCAAGGCTTATGTAGTTGTTTTTGTGGTTAATTTTGCTGCGATTAGGGACAAAGTTGTGTGAGGATAGCAGGAAGTATGGTTCAGAAAATACATGTACTAGTGGTGATACACTAACAAAAGCTTCACTAAGTTTCGCAAATGCTCGTGCTCAAATGGAGAAAGAGCGCGGAAATCTCTTGAAGTCTCTTGGCACACAGGTTTCAAAACCGTTTAGTTTGGCACAATCGATGATTTCTTTTTTTTTTTTTTGTTAGCAATATAGCTAAGTTTTTACATGATGAAGTTATTAGGTCGCTGAGCCATTAAGAGCAATGGTAATGGGAGCTCCATTGGAGGATGCTCGACATTTAGCACAACGGTATGATCGGATGCGACAAGAAGCTGAAGCTCAGGTACTTAGCAGCTTCTAACTTCTGACACCAAATCCAACTTGTGGTTTTTTTTTACTAACATTTTTTTCTTGAACCTACATAGACAATTGAAGTATCGAAAAGGCAAGCTAAGGTTAGAGAGAATCCCGGTAATCCGGATCTAGTAATGAAGTTGGAATCTGCTGAAGCAAAATTACAGGACCTTAAATCGAATATGACAATATTGGGAAAAGAAGCAGCTTCTGCCATGGCTGCAGTTGAAGATCAACAACAAAACCAAACCCTTCAACGGCTAATAACTTTGGTACTAACGTAGACAAATGTTTCGGTTAAATTTGGAAGTTGTTTTTTTCTTCAAGATCACTTACTCTCTGTTTTTCTAAATGTTTCTATGAAAAGGTTGAAGCAGAGCGTAGTTATCATCAAAGGATTCTTGAGATTATCGAACGGCTAGAAGGAGAGGTATATATATATCTCAACTGGTCACATCTTTCTACATTTTTAATCTCTGAGTGACATAATTTCATTGTATAGATGAGATATGAGCAACAAAGAATCGAAGCGCCTCAAACTCCACAAGTAGAGAACATTACATCCTCGCCTCCTCCTTCATATGAAGAAATCAGTAATGAAGTCAATGCTTCTGAAATGCATAATGGAACATCGGATGCCATGGGATACTTCTTAGGAGAGGTTAGTGAACTTAAAAATGTCATCTTTTTTAGATTCACAAGAGCTTGATTAATCTCTTGATTTGCCGATCTAATTTTCTTCGGCGCAGGTCATGTTTCCTTATCAAGCTGATTCAAATTTTGAGCTTAGCTTATCGGTTGGAGACTATGTTGTTATCAGAGAGGTTAGCATTCAATTGAAAGCATATTAGATACCATTATTTCTAGGTGTAGAACATCAAATAACCGAAAGAATCTTAAAACTCATCTATGATCTTAGGACTCATTTACATGTCTTTATGTCTTTATGCGGTTTCAGGTAACAAGCAGCGGGTGGGCAGAAGGAGAATGTAAAGGCAAAGCAGGTTGGTTTCCTTATGACTATATCGAAAGAAGGGATCGTGTGCTTGCGACTAAGGTCATCGAGGTCTTCTAATGGCTTCTGATGGTGGGGGCTTGGTGATTCTTGTGACACTGGTTTTGTTTGTTTAAAATAATTGTGTGTTTTTGCCATTTGTTCAGTCTCAGAAGGGAAAAACCTTCTTTATTGTTTTTCTTCTTGTTGTTTAACAAGTTATATAATCAGAGAGAGATCAAAGATTGACAATGCAAGTAGGGTGGTTCCCAATCGCAGTCGTCGCCTTAATCTGATCAAAGCCTGATTCAAACCGCAACTTGGCTTCATCGCATTCATAGCTCATCATACCTTTCTTTGTTTCCTCTCTACAATCCATAAGAGAACCGCGATCCAAACCGCACTTCATTCCTCTCACTGATAGCATCAATAATCTCTTTACCAATCGCACCGCTTAAATCTTCTTTAGTAGCAACCGCTGAAACGTTGAGAAGATGAGGAGTGCCTAATTAGATTCAAAAATCAGCTGTAAAATATATAAACCGGTTTCAAATAATGATAACAAACAATAAGTAACCTTTGTATGGAGGAAGTAGCAAGAGTGTCATTCTTGTAAAGAAAAGAAGTTTGTAGGTTTCCTTGGAGACGCATATAAATCACCAACAAGTTTTCCAGGGACTCTTATCAATAAATCCCATCTAGCACTAACTAGATCAGGAAGATGATGGATTTGTTGTTGTGTGGTGGTACTATTATCATCGAGCTTGGCTGCGAAATCCATAGAAACTATTTTGATATCGGGGATTAGAGTTTTGGGAGTGTTGCTATAAGGCTGATTATGAAGACCACGAGGACAACAAGTAGGCCAATAAAGAAGACGCGGCAGCATTTTTCCCCGTCCGGTGTCAGATCGAGATTCGTTATGTCATCTTCTTTCAATGGATTAAATTCTGATTTCATTGTTTTCAGTTTTGATTGATCAATGTGAAAAGAGGAAAGACATTTATTTATTTTATATGAAAAAGACTTAAGATATTCTATAGAGAATAATAATGATTTCTATATAACTGGTACAATTCACTATAGAAGGATCTATAAAGAGTAATAATACAGAAATGTTTTTTTTTTTTAAAATTATTGTGTCTTATTATCTATCCAAAGGGGTTTTGTGTATCTAATTTTAAATGTGTAGTTAATTTTCGAAGATGTAACGGAAAAGGCAATAATATGACATAAATGTTTTAACCATTATATAGTTTTATATAAATAATGATTAAAACTAATATATATTGGTCCCTATATATCTTCTATATATTAATTGAGGAGACAGTAATGTGAAAATTATATGTGTCATTCAATAAGGGTTTCAAGAAATATGTCATTTAAATTAACCAATGAAAACATTTCAATTAATTCTACATATTTTTATTAATTTTATAGCATAAATCTTTTAATACATGTTTTGCAAATCTAAGTCCAACTAAATGTAATATTTAGAATTATCATATCATCTATTTTTAAAACTTCTTTTATATTTTTAAAACTTTTTATTATTATATTTGTGACAATATTATTTATTGTGTATATATGTATTTAGATTAATATGATATATAAAATATTTACACATTTCATTATTAGAAAAATATATATATTTTTTCGTTTATTATGTCCGACAAATTCATATAATTTACATGCTCTATAATTTACATGAATAATAAAAATTAATTTTACACTTAAAATATATTGAATAAATAATATTTTCATATGTTCTGATCAATTGCACATAAAAATATTAAAACTGATGGCATCAAAATATGTTAG